CTGTAGTCTCACCACTTCTCCTTTCCGCAACGGGCTGAGCTCTTTTGCGCCACGATCGTGATATTTCTTTTGGAGCTGTTGTCTTTGTTGAATGCGTTTTGGAGCTGTTGTCTTTGCTTGCGAATTTATCTTCGGTTGGAGCAACTTCTCCGAGACGGGCAAGGGAGTCTTTGTACGGCGGTTAAACAGTCGTTGTGCGGGGCTTGTTTCGTGGGTTGTTTGGGGGGTGTTTCGGTGGGCAAGAAGGGCAAGGTAAATGTCATCGTTTGATGATTTGCATGTTCGAATTATTCGTTTGGCTTGCTTGACGGCAGATTCGGCTTTGCCGTTGGATTGGTGGTGATAGGGACTGGTCGTTATAACTTATATGCTCATATTGGTACTTCATAGAGAAGTCTCGAAAGTCATCACTGATGAATTGTGGGCCGTTGTCTGTCACGAGAGTATTTGGAATACCGAACCTGGCGAAATGGGGCTTTAGTTTCTTTATGACTGCCAGTGATGTCAATTTTTCAAGGCGTTCGAGTAGTAGTCCACTGTTACTAAATACGAATTTTTAAATTCAAAGATATCACAACCGATTTTTGCCCATGCTCTCTTTGGTATTTCATGCGGGATGAGAGGTTCTTTCGGCTGCTTGGAATTGAATGTGTCACAGGTGATGCAATGTGAGATGTGGTCTTTCAATTCTTGGTTCAGATGTGGCCAGTAGACGGTTTCTCTGGCTCGCCGACTTGTCGATGCGATCCCTTGGTGTGCTGCATGCAATTCATTCAGTACTTGCTTTCGTAGTGATTTTGGGATAACGACGCGGTCTCCCCTAAACACGAGGCCCTCTTGTGTTGTTAGTTGGTCTCGTAGATGGAAGTACGGGGTGATTGTTGGAGATAGATCTTTGGAGCTTTCGGGCCATCCTGACTGGATGAATGATTTGACTTGCTGTAGGTCTTGATCTTTCGTTGTGTGGTCTTGGAATATGGTTGTTGTTTCACAATTTAGTATTTCGTTGATTTCTTCCAAACTGTCCACTTGGTCGAGATCGCTGTCGACGCTGCGTGCTTCGTCGGTGGAGTTGTCTAAATGGTGACGACTGAGTGTGTCAGCTAGCAGCATCGCTGACCCTTTCTTATAAACGATGGTTAAGTCATATTGGTGTAATCTCATCATCATCTTTTGAAGACGTCTAGGTGCTGCTGACAGAGGTTTCTGATGAGTGACTTCGAGCGGCTTGTGGTCTGATTCTACTGTGACTGGTCGGCCATATGTATACTGGTGAAAACGCTCGGTTCCATAGACTATAGCTAACAGTTCCTTTTCTATCTGAGCGTATTGTTTCTCCGCGTGCGTCAATGCTCGGCTGGCAAATGCGACAGGCTTTCCCTCTTGAATGAGTGCGGCCCCCAGGCCGTGGTCGCTAGCGTCACACTGTATTATCAGGGGTTTGGTCGACTCGTATTACTTGAGGACTGGCGGTTCTGGGATCAATTTCTTTATTTGGGTGAAAGCGGCGTCATGCGATTTGTCCCAATCGAAAGGCTGATTCTTTTTTGTGAGTTGTCGTAGTGGTTCAGATACTTGTGAGAGGTGGGGAAGGAACTTGGCAAGATAATTAACTGTTCCGAGAATTCTTCTGACTCCAGCCACGTCTGTGGGTTGCTTCATTTCTAGTATGGCTTGTACTTTAGCAGGATCTGCTTGGACACCGTCAGAGGTAAGAATGTGGCCAATGTATGGCATTGAGGTCTTCTTCAACTCAATCTTGTTTGGGTTAAGCTTGATGTGTTTAGCTCTGCAGCGGTCGAATAGTTCCTTGAGCTTTCTGTCATGGTCGGCTACAGCTTCCTGCATCGTCTCTCCATTTCCTATTACTAAAATGTCATCAGCAACAGTCCGTATACCATCCAAGTCATCAATTGCCTGGTCTAGTCGTTGCTGGAAAATCTCTCCTGCAGGGGAGATCCCGAAAGGCATCCGTTGCCATTTAAATCGTCCAAATGGAGTGTTGAACGTCGTTAAAAGAGACGACTCTTCGTCTAATTCTACTTGCCAATATCCGTTGCTACAGTCTACTTTGGTAAAAACTTTTGCATTGGACAGTTCTGGAAGTACGTCGTCAATTGTCGGTATTGGATGGTGGCATCGTTTCAGCGCTTTATTGAGTGGTCTGGGATCGAGGCATAATCTAATTTTGCCATTGGGTTTTGGTGCAACAACAATTGCGCTGACCCAGTCTGTTGGATAGTCTACTCGTTCTATGACCTCAAGCTTGACAAGTTCGTCCAAATGTTCTCGCAACGGTTGCTTCAGCGACTCTGGGATTTTTCTTGGTGGGAGTCGGACAGGCGACATTTCAGGATCAACTTCAAGATGCAGTGCTGGACCTAAGGTGCCAAGACCTTCAAAAACATCTTGGTATGTGTCCTTGACGTTTTGCATTGTCAGTCCCATTTGATCAGGCCGAGTTAGGTCTTCATTAATTTGATCGACATGAACTGGGCTCCCAATTTGAATCAAATTCATTTGTTGCACGGTGCGGCAGCCAAGAAGGTTACTTTTTGCATTCTGGTCATCAACAACAGTGAATGGTACTTTGAACTTTTGCTTTGTAATTGGGTCTTGTACTTGTATTTTGCACTTTCCAAGGGGTGTGAGTGATGAGTTGTTGTACATCTTTAGAACATGTGCCGTAGGTTTGATGCGTCGTTCATATTTAGTGCCTTTTAATTCACTCTTTTTTAGGACATTGCAGGTTGCCCTGGTATCGATTTGGAAATTTGGTTGTGTTCCCCCTTTTATTTTCATGGTAGCAAAGATCCGTGATTTGTAAATGTTCCGTTGGTGTATTGTATTGATGGTATCATTCTCGGTGGGGTCTAGTTCGACAGTCATAAGCGAGTCGCCTGAATCACTTGAGTCGTTTTCAGTTACTGCGTGAAGTGGCTTTTGGCGGGAATATCTTCCTTTCTGCATACAAACTTTGGCGAAGTGATTTTCGCGACCACAATTCCGGCAGCGGCTTCCAAATGCAGGACATAATTCCTTTTTCGTTGGTGCATTGTTCCACAATATTTGCATTTAACTTTGTTGTCACGCCCCCCGTCACGCCTATCAAGTCCGATACGCCTGTCATCGCGTCTTCCGGTTCCTGTGCTTCCGGTTTCGGTTTTGTTGTTTACAATGGCGTTGATTTCGCCCTCATTTGCTTCGCTCTTCGCCTGGATTTTCTTGACTTGTTTCTTCGTGGTCTCGCTACTGCGACAGATGTCGATGGCTTTTGTCAAGGTGAGTTTTCGATCTTGCAATAGCTTTTTTTGAGTTGCATTATCGTTGATTCCTATGACCAGGCGATCGCGTATCAAAGAATCTCGTAAACAATTACAGAAATTACAAGATTGTGGCAATGTTCGCAGTGCTGTTACGTATTGGTCGACTGTTTCGTTTTCATTCTTTTGTCTGCTGTTGAAAACGAATCTCTCGTAGGTTTCGTTTGTTTCACCTAAGCATAACTCTTTAAATTTGGTTACAACAATGTCAAATTTCGTGCGGTCTTCTTCCGAGGCAAAATCTAAGCCCTCAAAAATTTCCATTGCGTCCTCGCCGATGCATGAAAGGAACGTTGCTGTTTTGAATTCATCTTCGAATCGGTTAAATCTTGCCACTATAGCATAATTATCCCAAGATCGCTTGAATTTCTTTCAGTTTGAGGCAAGGTTTCCTTCAGTTTTTAATGGCTTAGGCATGGCCAAGCCCGCTGGCAATAATGGTTGACATGCCGAGGCTGTGTTCGGCGTGTTTTCTGCTTCGCTACCGTTCGCTTCTTCTGTCATTTTCAATAATGTGAGCTGGCTTCTTTTAAACTCCTGACACCATGTTATTTACTTCTCACTTTCATTAACTTTTGATAGTTTTATTTCTTATAGTATAATTCGCATAATATAAACTCATAACATGTATATACTCTATCTCTAAAATCCCGTGTCCTACACCTATTTTCGCGCCCTTTTCCTTCGTTCCCAGTTTCCCCTGTCCGAGCAAATATAACTAAAATATTAATGTCAACAGTAAATGTCCAACATAGTCATGCATTTTTCCCGAATTCTTCGACCGACGATCACACAGTACACTCTATCAGGTACTCCAGTCCAACAATCGTCCAGTCAAGAGATCTTGGCATAATTACCACTAGCGATCTGAAATGGAACAAGCAGGTGCAAGAGATATCGACCAAAGCTAACAAAATGTTAGGTTTCGTCAAGCGAACAGCGTTCGATATTCGGCAGCGACAACTTCGTAAGGTTCTTTACTTGACTATGGTCCGTAGTCAGCTGGCTTATGGTAGTCAAGTGTGGCCACCCCAGACGGTCAACAACATCATGATCGTTGAACGTGTGCAGCGCCGTGCCACTAAATTTATTTTGTCATTGCCATGCTAAACAGACATCTCGTACAAGGAACGATTGATCACCGTCGGCATCATCCCTATATGTTACTGGCATGAGTATTTGGATCTGGTGTATCTGTACAAGTGCATCATTTCTAACTCTGACAGAAACATCTCCATCAAGACTCCTGCTCGAGAAACACGAAATACCAACGCAACCAATGGCATTTTACTCGAAGTAGCCAAGTACAAGACAGTGAGCTATCAAAACAGCTTCTACGTCAGAGTTGCCAATGTGTGGAACACACTCCCCTACTCGATCAGAGAAGCCAACAAAACCGTGGTCTTTTTTAAATTTTGTTTAATTAATGAAACATTATAATAATCTCACTAAGGAAATTTACAATCCCGAAGATCCGAGAACATTTAAGTCTGTTTGTGTGAAGTGTCATACAACTCGCCCATTGAGCAGCTTGTCCAATCGATCTTGTTGCTAAATTTATTCATGTCTGTCTGTCTGTTTGTCTGTTATTGTTTATACTTGTATTTTAAATGTTTTGGAATCCCGTTATTGGAGATCGAACTAATAATCTCTGTGTGGTAATTCCAGCCATGTAGCCTATTTTGTAATTAATTTTATGTAATATAGTGTATTGTGTTCAATGGCAAAATCTGTAAAATAAAATAAATAAAATAGAAGACAAAACTTGTTCCGCCTTCTCAGACAGATTGAGGTCTTTCTTTCGTTGTCATCTTCCTGTGCGTCAGGTTGTTCGGTTTCTTCCCGTGTATTGGGTTGTTCTTCTATTGTGTTAGGGTTAGGGTCTTTGATTTCTTCCGATTTGTCGGCTCCTGCGTCTTCCTCGCCAGTATCGCCCTCTTCGTTGTCTGCATCTTCCTCACCAGCATCTTCCTCACCAGCATCTTCCTCACCAGCATCTTCCTCACCAGCATCTTCCTTACCAGCATCTTCCTCACCAGCATCTTCCTCACCAGCACCTTCCTCACCAGCACCTTCCTCACCAGCACCTTCCTCTTCGTTGTCTGCATCTTCCTGACCAACATCGTCGTCTTCCTCACCAGCATCTTCCTCACCAGCATCTTCCTCACCAGCATCTTCCTCACCAGCATCTTCCTCACCAGCATCTTCCTCACCAGCATCTTCCTCACCAGCATCTTCCTCGCCAGCATCTTCCTCACCAGCATCTTCCTATTCGTTATTGGCGTCTTCCTCACCAGCATCGTCCTCTTCGTTGTCTTCAGTTAGCACGTCCACCCGTGGTGGCGACTTTCTTTGTGTGAGCTGTTCAATGAAAGTCGCCACCCTGGCGTCTGCCTCCAGTTCGTTTTCGATGTGGTAATAGACAGATTTAGATCGCGGACGTCAAAGAACGAGGTGAAAATGGCGTGTTGTGACCATGTATGGATATGCCACGCCATTTTCACGTCGTCTTTGACGTCTGCGATCTAAATCTGCCTAATAACGTTGATCCGTCGTCACGGAGTGGCCCATTTGGTTTGCTAATTGTTCCTCTGACACTGAAGCGTCAGCCTTCTCACGTTGTAGGCTGACAAATTGACAATGCTCTTTTTAATTCTCGAACTTTTGAGTGTTCCCTTTAGCTCGGGAGCCACCTTCTTACCCATCTCGGCAAGACGATGGCTCGCTCGCGACTCATTAAGTGGGTTGCCCTTCGTCGAGATGAAGAACAACGGCGTAGCTGGTATTCCCCCCGCCGCTGGTGCCATCGAATTCTGGTTGGCATATGTCGGGCGCAACTTGTTCATGTACGTGTCCGCGTACCGCTTTAATTCTCGGTTCCACATCAACTTCGCCAGACGAAGTCTTGTGTCTGAGTGTACGGGTAACAAACAAATCTTTCTCTGATTTTTCTGTGTTGGTGTAATTGTACTCAGGTGAATATGATGCTTGTGATTTTTCAAGCTTGCCCGGTGTGGATATACACTCAGAGTAACATCACAAGCATCTGAGTACAATTACACCAACACAGAAAAATCATGATTATTAGATTACATTGATATCGAAGGGACTAGATTCGGTTCCGAAATATCACATACTCGAACCGACCTGACCGCGTAGCTCAGTTGGCAGAGCATTGGGCTAGTGTTCCAAAGGTCGTAGGTTCGATTCCCTCAAGCTTGCCCGGTGTGGATTTTACACTCAGAGTAACATCACAAGCATCAAATCTTTCTCTGTCCACACGCCGTCTTGAAACTCGTCGAGAATGTATGCAGATGACACTAATCTTACATATTCTGGTAGCGATATAAACACTATATTCAATTTCGTCTTAACGAAGACTTGGAAAACATTAATGAATGGTTAATATCAAATAAACTTACTTTAAATATGACTAAAATTGAGTAGATATTAATTGGGTCGAGACAACGTTTAAGTACTCTTTCTGACAATCCTTATTTTGAAATATATGGAATTTCTTTAGACCGAGTTTCGACAACAAAATCACTTTATTAGATGAAAATCTTACTTCGAGTAGTCATATCAATAAAATGACAAAACGAATTGCTTCTGGTATCGGTGCTATTAAGCGGTTAAGGTAATTTGTTTCATTGGAAACATTGCATGTTATTTATCACGCTCTAATACAACCACATTTTGATTATTGTAATGTCGTGTGGGGAAATTGTGGTAAAACTTTATCTAACAAACTTCAAAACCGTGCAATGCGAGTGTTGACCTTTTCCAACTTTGACGCCGATAGCTTATTGGAAAATCTAGGGTGGGATGATATAAACCAACAACGCCAATTTCAAAAAGCGTTGATGGTTTTCAAACCTTTAAATAACCTTGCACCCGAATATCTATGTTCTAAATTCACTTATCGCAATGTAACTCCTTACATACTTCGAGACTCCGTGAACAAACATGCTGCTCCTTTACCCCGCACCAATTATCTTAAAAATAGCTTTAGCTATAGTGGTGCAGTGTCATGCAACAGCTTACCTAGCAATATAAGACAAGCGGAATCTCTTACTGAATTTCGACAATTGTTAAAATATATTCGATAGACACGGCAATCATGGAAAACAGGTATAAATATCAGTGTAACATAGGCTTGAAAAATTTTAAACTTATTAATGTAGATAACTATTTTTTGTAAACCTGATGAAGCTACCGTGCTTAATAAAGATTTTGCCTGACTGACTGAGAGTAGGTTCGACGCTGCCCCGCATCTCTGGCCGCTGCCCATTATTAACCTCAGCAGCAGATAGTCGTGCATATTCGAAAAGTCCTTCACATCCAAAGTGGCTGTCGGGTTAGATTCGACGGTCTCGAACAATGCAGTTATTTCTTTAACCTTTCCGCTTAGTTGCTCCTAACCTGAGTATCAGGCTCTATTTTACAAATAATAGCCTGACACAAACCTTAATCCGATCGTTTTCCACCAACAGAAAGTTAATATTTAGTATCCAATCAAAATGTCGCAATTCACACAACGACAACAACAATCTAATTATAGTTGTGATCACTATAAAATATAATCAACAACAATAGTATGATCTAATTATCTTTTGTCTCACAGACCAATCAGATTTACAACCGAAATACGCTTGTACGGCATGGACGTTTGTTGAGGTTTGTATCAGGCGTATTTATTTATTTATAGGCCTGATCGCAGGTTAAGTCGTTCCTCAACGTCGCGCTTCCGGATCTCGGCCTTCCTGAAATTGGCGGTGTCTGTAAAAGCCTTCGGCCATGTTTCCAGCCTCATGATTGCTATGTTGACGAGGCGGATGTCGTCATTGGTCAGTGTGGCTATGAGACGAATATCCTCCTGACGGACTATCACAAACCGCAGGAAGAGCTGCAGGGAGATAGTGTACGCCTTTAGCGTGAGCGGTTGGCGCTTGTCCTTCTTGCTCAGTAGATCGTTTCCCCTGAAAAAATTCTTGCTTAGAATGTTAATTTTGCAATTGTCCCAGAGTTGATGGACATTCTTGGGGGGATCCTCTATTTCATACAGGAGGCGGCAGACTCTACGAGTGTGGTCTTTTGCCACAGCCGCCTTCCTTGAGCCGCTCTCAAAGTTGAGGTGGTGTTGAAAGAGTTGAAAAACTGGAAGTTCTTCAATCTCCCGCATCATTGACGGATCCGGCTCCGCTTTGGGGCGACGTGGTTTACTAAGCAGGATAGCCAGCGGAGTATCTTGACTTTCTGACTCCGAACCCGACGACGACGGTGGAGGTAGGTCTTCGCCATGAATAGAAGGGTCCGGCTGTGTTTCAGTTGATTTCTTTTTAGTCTTCCTAGGCTTTTTGGCTGCTGCAGCGTTGTCCTCAAACTTGGCCTTCGCGCGGGCCAAGGCGATCTCGTCGTTGTATCTGACAAAAGAGTGCAAGGAATGAGTGTTTAGGGTTAGGGTTGATATTATAACAAACATACTTGCAGGTTCGGTGAGTCCGGGATTGGACGAACCGAGGCGCGTCCAATCCCGGACTCACCGAACCTGCAAGTATGTTTGGTTTTTATCAGATGCCATTTCGGTAAAAAGTACTGAAGAATTTACGCATTTTAGTATATAATTTCTTGTTTGTATAACGAACATTTTTGCTGCCAACATACTACGCGAACAAACAAACTTAGGCTTAACTTGAAGCTAAAAAAAATTCTCTACAATATTCCCTTATTCTTGAAAAGAGAAAACGCACACATTCTGCGAAAACATTGCCAAGTGAACCTGCCCGTGCCGAACAAATTTCGGCGGCGATCTTTCTTCTCTTCCACTTTGAATACAGAATATTCCATTTTCATCAAACAAAATAAAAAAATAACAATTAAAAACAGTTAATTACTCTTTTATTTAAATCTTCGTCTGAAATTTGTTCAAATCGCTTCATAATGGCCGCCGCCGAAACCTCGATCTCGAACCCACCTACTAAACTTACGTCAGCAGGTGAGTTCGAGATTGAACGTACCTCCTCGTAGCCAATAGGAAAGCCGTTAATACGCTAGGTATGAGATAAAGTTTTGTATGGCAATAAGAAAGAAAATATTTTCAGTTAACCTTCGGTATTCTGGGTCTTCTTTGTTAATGTGATGTATTCTGCGGAGGTGGAGGTCAATCCTTGCAACCATCTTGTCGCACCCCGGGACCGGACAAAGGAGCGGCTTCCTTTTCTGATCGACACCTTCCTTGACGGCACGATGTCTGCTGGATATTTGTATAGATTCTTTCTTCGTCTTACCGTGCAACGTCCTCAGGTGGCTGGTTAAGTATTTGTATCCTTTCTTGCAGAATGGGCATTCACGTACTCTCCTTTCCCTCTATGTAAAGAAAGGCTGTGTGTAAATAGTCTGACTGATGTGAAAAGGTCCAGTGGTAGCCTGCATGGCATGCAGGCTAGTCCAAAGGGAATGGGTCGAATAATATTTACATTTGAGATAACAAGTTTAAACAAACCTTTTTGGGTTCTTTATCCTCACCATCGGAGGTGCTTTCATCAGTCTCTTCCACTGTAAAAGTTGTTGGACGTTTTCTCTAAACAGGTTGAAAACACATCAGGACATTACCTCTAATTATAATTGATTTTCCTGGTTGCCGGGAACGAACAATATGTAGTTAAAATATTTAATAATACCTTCATCCTCTTTGATGTCTCTGTCAGAGGGATAACATAAGAGTCGTTGCTATCATCAAACATCGGGAGCAACGAAGGCGGTGGAGACGCCCTTTCTTTGGTTTTCTTCTCGGGCGTTTGGGAGGAAAGGTATTTCCTTAGTGAGATGTCCTTGATAATACAATATTTTAAAACACATTATTTTGCGTTACTCGATTAGCTACCGATTAACAAATGAGCCTTGTGTACATCCAAATTGAACAATTCTTCCTCGGCCTGGTCATAGGGCTTCTTATGAAAGTTCATATACAATTTAATCAAAGCCTCGGGGAAGCAGACCTTCATGATATAGTTGGCCTCGGTATCATTCTCAACACCGAACATGTTCACCAACGTCTTGGCCACCAATTCGTGCTGGGTGTCCGTAAAGTGGCTCATCGGGCACTTAAACTTATAGTCTAAGTCCTTACAACCTTTGGTACCTCCATGGCCGAAAGCTGCCGCACGTTCCTGTGGGCCTTCTCCCTTTTTGATCTTGCTCAGGTAGTGCTCTAAACCCTTCACCAAGTCTTCCAACTCCTCCGGACGGATGGAAGGGGCATCAACGTCAGCCATACTGACTAATATTAAAAAGTTATGAACTATTTAAGAAAAAATTTACAAACAAAGCCACAAAAATAAAAGGGGGCGAAGATAGCGACGTGGTTATTTCGTGTATTTTTAAAACAAAATCCGTAGCATTATCTCATACCTAACGTATTAGCGGCTTTCCTATTGGCTACGAGGAGGTGCGTTCAATCTCGAACTCACCTGCTGAATGTTCAGGAGGGGGGTTCGAGATCGATGTTTCGGCAGCGGCCATTATGAAGCGATTTGAACAAATTTCAGACGAAGATATATATATATTTATAATTAACTGTTTTTAATTGTTTTATAATTATTTTTTTTATTTTGTTTGATGAAAATGGAATATTCTGTATTCAAAGTGGAAGAGAAGAAAGATGGCCGCCGAAATTTGTTCGGTTAGCACTATTTTCCATCCAGCAAACTGACCTGGCGTCACTTTCGGAAGATGGAAGAGGTGTTAAATGGCTATGTTACAAACCCAAACCCTACCCCTACCCTAACCTCAACCCTAACTCTACCCAAATTAATAAAAAAATCCAAAAAGAAACGACTTCACAAAATCGATAGGGCGGTTTGCTGGATGGAAAAAAGTGCTAAACAATTTGTTCAGCACGGGCAGGTTTATATAAATCTTGGCAATGTTTTCGCAGAATGTGTGCATTTTCTCTTTTCAAGAATAAGGGAATATTGTAGAGAATTTTTTATCTTCAATTTAAGCCCAAGTTTGTTTGTTTGTGTAGTATGTTGGCGGATAAAATGTAAATGTTCATTTATCCAAACAAAAATTCATATACTAAAATGCGTCAATTCTTTAGTACTTTTTACCGAAACGGCATGTCATAACAACCAAACATACTTGCAGGTTCAGTGAGTCCGGGATTGGTGAGTCTCGGGTGGCTGGAAGTTTCCTGAACCCACTTCGCTCAGGAAACTTCCAGCCACCCTCGGTGCGTCCAATCCCGGACTCACCTCCCTGCAAGTATGTTTGCTTAGGTGGGTTTTATCCCAAACTCATAGGGGATGTTGGGCACACCCCCAGGCACATGCCCACCGAGTTTGGTGAATTTGATTAAAAGCCCTGCCCACTGGGTATTTTTCAAAAATCCACGAAATAACCACCTACTTTTGGAGGATGGTATTTTTGCTGGGAGGTAAACAAAACAAAGGGCGTCCATCTTGGATTTTTTTTTAATGGTTTTTGTTTATATAACCAGAGTTTTAGTACAGATTCTGTACTAAAACCACTAATTCTGTTTTGTGATTGGCGCGGTTTAATCAAAGAATCTTCCCGTTGAACCAGAGCCTACACAATGTTTCAATTTATTATTTACTGAAGGCTCTGGAATCCAGGGTAGAGATGTACTTACTCAGTTACTCTTACAAGACATGCAGCATATCAAAAATTCGGGACAAGGAATCTAAGCACAAGGAATCTTCCCAGCTATACTAAATTACTGTAACATTAATATTTTTTTCCATAAAAGTAAAAAACTATTTTAATTTGACATAAATATGATTCATTTCACTTCCTGTTTTTTTTATTCCTTTCTACATTGGAAAATAATTAATGAAACGACACAAAAAGCATGTTTGCAGTGCCAGTTCTGGCAGGTTGTCACACATCAACCGATATGATTTTCAACAAAGTGGGACCTGACCATTGGAATGTTATTAATAATATTTCGCACCTTCGGAACTTTCTTGAATTGAATTTCTAGTCTGTATTCATTTACAAGCATAGCAAACCAGAAGAGTGTCAAAAATTCAGTATAATATATATCTAATCATATTTTAGCACTGAGTTCAAAATGTAAACAAAGTTATTTAATTTATATAATTTGCATATACAATTCCCCCCTCCTGTTCGACACATAATCAACGACAGGGGCGCCAGAAAGTTGATAATTGGGGGGGATGGGCAGATATTCATATATTCATGTTCACAGACTGTAGAAACAATCGCTTTCAAAGGAAATAAATGATGCAGAACATGAATATATGAATATCTGCCCCCCATGAATATATGAATATCGACTTTCCGGCGCCCCTGATCAACGAGACAAAACAAAAAGCACGTTGGTAGTTCCGGCAGGTTGTCAAGCATCAACCGATATGATTTGCAAGAAAGCTAGTTGTCTCGTCTCGTTGATCAATCAATAATTACTTATCGACACACAATTGTTATAGAGTTAATATTTACATAAATACGTCATTTGCATATACAATCCCCGGTTCAACACTATTTTTAACAAAAACATATCAAAACACGATCACACATACCTAAAGTTGAAGATAAAAAGATGACAAATGAAAAAAATAACCAGTGCAAATAGTGAACAAAGGAAAACCAGGAGAGAAAGGTACAATCAAACCAGTGATTACAGTTCACTGAACATAGATATAGACCTCTGGATATAGACTGAATCAAACCAGTGTTTCCACAACGGAGCATTCAAATTTCTTTGTTTAACCAAAAAATTTCCTTGAAATGAGAAATGAGATGTAATTTCCTTGAAATTTCCTTGATTATTACAGTCAAAATACAAAAAGTGTCCCACTTCTGCTTCTGTAGTTTGTTGTGATTTACTGTAATTTGTTCTGTTTTTCTGTAGCGATTAGCAATTTATCGGCAAATAATGCAATAAAATTTAAATTTCGTGCCTTTTATGCAATGAAACTAACGAAAAAGTATTATATCCCTTTGCTACAAATTATCATATTTAAAAATAGAGAAAACTAAGTTTTATCGCGGTATTTGCCGATATATAAATTGGTAATCGCTAAAGAAAAACAGAACAAATTACAGTAAATCACAACAAACTACAGAAGCGGAAGGGGGGAGCGATTGATTAAATGTGGCGTACCACAAGGCTCTATCTTAGGACCACTATTCTTTCTGCTATATATAAATGATTTACCTCAGTGTCTAAACAAAACAAAACCTCGATTGTTTGCTGACGACACAAATCTGACAGCATCGGGAGATTCTATAATTGACCTTGAATATGCAGTAAATTCTGATTTGGAAAACCTCAGAAAATGGTTAAGACAGAATTTATGTTAATTGGTTCAAAGGCAATGATTAAAAAAAATTCTGATTCACGTTTAAATGTTTTCATTGAAAATAAGCAAATTAAACAAGTTAGCGAATGCAACACTCTTGGAGTAATAGTTGACCAGCATTTGTCTTGGAAAAGTAATTCCGAAAATATTTGCAAAAAAATAACTGCAGGAATCTCTGTAGACTTGGATCAAGTCCGTCTCTATAGAGTCCGAGTCGCGAAGTTCCGAGTCGCGAAGCGACGAGATCCGGCGCGCGCTCGATCCCTCGGACTCTTGAGAGACGGACTTGATCCAAGTCTAGAATCTCTGCTATTCGTCGAGTCAAACCTTTCGTTGACAAAGATACACTCATTTCGATATATAATGCTATTGTTCGCCCATACTTTGATTACTGTTGTGAAGTATGGGATGTGTTTGGTGAATCACAATCAAAACGACTCCAAAAACTTCAAAATAGAGCTGCTAGAATTATCTTGAACATGAGTAATGACGTAAATCATTCCATTGCTCTACGTGCATTGGGCTGGGAGTCACTCAAAACTGAAAGGAAGAAAGCTAAGGCAAAAATGATGTACAAAGTATTAAATAAAATGGGTCCTAAATCACTCACCAATCTTTTTTCATACAAATGTGAGAAAACAAACTACAACCTTCGTGACATTTCAAGCGGTCTTAGTTTACCAAAACCGCGTACTAACAACATGAAAAATAGTTTCATGTATGACGGAGCACACCTTTGGAATTCTATTCCAAAGGAAATTAGGGAAAGCAAAACTCTTTCATCCTTTAGAAATAAAGTCGCTGCTCACAAAATTGACATAGAGTAAATTGATGTAACTGTAAATATTCTAATAACCTTCTTATCATGTAAATAATTTAATATTCTACCTTTTTAAACTTAAGTATTTTAATATCTCCATGTAACATTTTTCTATTTTTGCACACGCCCCCCGTGGAAATCAGCTTCGGTTGACGGGGTCAGCGTGTATAAATAAAGTTTCTATCTATCTATCTATCTACACTTTTTGTATTTTCACTGTAACCGATATATATTTCGGCAACTATATAGTAAAGACATAAACAGAATGGTACATTTCTTTCGTACAAATCTTGAAAAGAAAGCCTTTGCAGATTTAAAATGTAAAATACCAGACTTTTATATTGTTCTCAATAGTCAACAAATCCACATGACAAATAAATTCATATCAACATGATAAGCATGACAGACACGTGGTGGCCTGCACGCAGCAAGCTACCTGATTTCCGCCTAAAATTCAGGTTGGGTGCAGCCTACTTGGTAACTTAGTTTAATTTATAATTCTAGATTATACTGACTCGCTCACAGGCTCCGAAAGAGGTTTTTTTATTTTTGCACACGGACATACGAAGGAAGTAATATAATTTAAAATTAATGAAAGGTTCGTGATAGAATCTTCAAAACATTTCAGTTGATTCAGTTGCACATGACGTCACAGCCGCCATGACTCTTGTCTGGAACACCAACATGGCCGCCATGGCTTTTGTTGAGTTGATCCCTGGGGAATGGGTGCAAACGCTCTATATAACGTCTCATGCAAACAAACAACTGAACAATACAAACTGCCTTTAAGCGAGCTCAGCTCAGGAACTCAATCACTTCTCTTAGCAATCGTTACATGATTGGTACAATATTCATACTATCAACTATATATTTACATAAGATGTACCGTCTGATGTTCTGATTACCAAAAGTTTGTAAATACTCAACCCAGTAAGTGTTAAATATTTGACTAGATTATTAAATTCCGCGAGTCCATGCAAAGAGGAGCACTGCACGAGATACCATCTGGGAGAGAATTGAGGCGTATGTATACAATCGTGTTGTTTATGATTATGGAAAATGAAATTTGAACTGAAATCCTTGTCCAAATGGAAATCCCCCTGGGAAACCTCCGTTTTGCCAACCTCCGCCATTTTGTTGTTCAGGATCTAGTGGGTCTTCACCATTGTCAAACTTGGCTTTTTTCTCTGGAAAAAGAAAACAAAATTCCAAGTTTTAATATATAAGAAAATAGAATTGGACAAAACAAAGTGCGTGTACTGACGAGCAACATTTCTTTTGATTTATCATAGTTTTTTATAGCCGACAAAGAAAATTTGCTCGCCTCTGTCAGTGAATGTCGATAAATGAACCCTCCCCCAATCGCGGATTGGCAACTAGCTATTGCTGCTGGATATTATTTGACGTGTAGTATAGTATCACAGGAAAACAAGGCGAGATACTCAATATTTTTATGCAGATTTCAATCATATCATATACATTCACATGGCAATTTAGCATTACTGAAACATCTATAAATTCTCTCGATTGTGTTGAGTGTTTTATAAACATTATACAAATGAAAACACACCTGGCTTTGGCTAATACATTTAAAAATCTCCCTGAAATTAGTGAGCATTCATGTTCGTTTAAAACTACCAAAGTTTTTGACCGCGAGCAGTTTTAATGGTTTTCGCAATTGAAACTCATTGAAACTGATCTTTTGCAGTTTAATATGACTACAGTATTAATGAAGTGAATATTTGTATTAGAAATGTTACATTTTCGTCCCATGTTCTCGTAATCGTGCCAACTGAGCTACCCCCCTTCCACCATCGCGGAACAAGTCCACGAAGCGGGACGAAATATATTTGTCGACGGTTCCTTACACTGAACTTGAAGACGAGAGACTTGTCAAGAAATATTTGATATCGGATTTTACGAAAGGGACAGTTCGTACTTTTTTGCATCGCAAAAGACATCTTATCTTTGATATTGTTTTGTGGAGTTAATTCAATTCATGCATGCACATACATTTTAAAATTAACGTCAAATGTAACGGTTAAGTAACATGACATCAATGGAGGAAACCATGCACCGAATTCTATGCAGTTTTTCTTTGTAATCAATTAATGTTTACTGTACTTTCTCAAATTCATTAATAATTCATGAGCAATTCAGCCAATGATAATCACCTATTTGATTACAAGATGCCATTTGGATAACCCGGTGAAACTAATTGATGAAAGTCACTATAGTGTTTTCATCATATATCTTAATTACGCATGCAAAATTACTTGAACAGAATTCCTAATTACGTTATGCTTGGTTAAGAATTCTATTCAAAATAAGCAAACGAAAACATTCTGTTACGTCTCGATTCATTTGAGAAGACATATAAACAACTCGAGGTCTCGAGCTCGTGTCTCACCGGGATATCCAAACACTCGAAAACAATGTATGAAAACACTCGTGCTTCGCGCTCGTGTTGTCATACATTGTTTTCTCGTGTTTGGATATCCCAGTGAAACACTCGCTCTCGTTGTTCATATATTACGTAATAACCTACCAGGATCAGTAAGGACTTCCTTTGCTGCAGCAACATCTATAAACATTCTTTCCGCTTTCTTTTTATCTTCCCCTTGATAATGATCAGGATGCCATTGTACTGCCAATTTTCTATACGCTTTCAAGATTTCTCGTTTACTTGCGTTTCTACAACAGCAAAATGTTTAATGAATTGCAAGTATTTCTTCTGGAAGAAAGTCCTGGGTACGAGGTTGGTATTTCATTAGATATTCATCATTATGTTCTGAGACGTTACATGCAGTCATTGTATTACTCTAATTATACATTCGAGACATTTCTGAGTTCTTAGTTCTCCAATTTCATAGATGATCATGCAATAACGTGCACGGCCATTTAAGTTGGATTACTTTCTGGATTGAGTTTATGGGACATGGCAACTAGATTGTCATGCCATTTCATTGCTATTTTGAGCATGAATGTTGGTTTTCTACCTACAGTAATTCCTATACTATATATACTTTTTTTATTTACTATATTCACTTATAAATTTGGCTAGGTACCAAGAACTATTCCTCTTGTTTTCGCAAAAGCCCGTTATTAATCATTGCATCTATGAAAGAAAACCGATCATGCACGAGTTCTATTTTAACCCTAATTCGGTACACACCGTCTCAATCCAGGCGTGTTGGTCTCAAGCCTTAGCTGCAAAACTAAGCGAAAACAAAACTAAGCGAAGTACAAGGCTTAAAAGTGTATATATATAAAACAAGTATAAGGCCAATGAAAATTGATATCATGTTTCTCGTCCACAATTTTCAAAAATTTGGAGTGGGATTTTTTCATTTTTCATTTTGCATTATTTTTTGTATTTGAATTCTGCTTGTCAATAATTTCCTTGACTCAGTAAGAAACCCCATAAAAATCTGAAGACGAAGTAAATCGGTGTACAATTCATTTTAATTTAATACGTCCCACACTACAGTATATTTCTATACATACCAGGGCTGACATGAAAAATAGAGGCATTCTGGCGAGTAATATCTTTAGAAAGATACAATTTGAGTTGCGCTTGCGGAATGCAGCAATAAGACTTTGATCTGGAGATCAATTTGGTGTTTTGTTAAGCCTATTTTTCAAAAATAATGAATAAAGAAAATTTTTCGTGCAGCAGATAAATCCCATGCGGGCGGGGACGAGAAACATGATATCAATTTTCATTGGCCCAAAAGGCTTCTGTCAAATGCCAGACTATTTTATTTGTTTACTTATTAGTGGGAGACTTCGTGGAAAGTACGTTTTACCCGTTATATATACCGTATCTCGTTAATGCTGCAGACTTCTCTTACCTTTTTACTTTTAAAATTTTATAATAATCCCTTTTCTTTGACTGTTTAAGAAGTCTTTGAGCTTTATCCAAACCTTCTTGTACCTATGTAATGAACTGGTTAATAAATACTGACATAAATCGAGTTATCAAATATAGCTGTTACTCAATGGCATAATTAATTAAATGATAACCTTGTTCAATTCTCCGTTGACATTTTTTGCTGTTTGATAATCGTTCACAGCTGTAACAAGAAATCATGAGGTTAACGATCAAACGATGACACATCAAGGACACATATGAACGTATCATAAAGTACTAGCCTCCTCCGCAGGCAACTCTTTGGCAAAAAATGGCAAAAGTATTAAAAAAATATAAATATTAAAAAAATATAAATATTAAAAAAATTGGCAAAAATGTGAATATTATAGGGTTACGAATTCAAAGTTAGGGATTGTTAGGGATCACTCGGGATAAAGGGCGAAATGGGCGAGGAGAGAAGCGAGGACAAAGGAAGAAGCGAGGCCCCCAGAGTGTTACCCTATAATATTCACATTTTTGCCGCTTTTTTAATATTTAGATTTTTTTAATATTTAGGTGGTCCATAACAATCCCCAACTTTAAATTCGCAGTTATTCATAATACTTTGCCAATTTTTGCCAAAGAGTTGCCTGCAGAGGAGGCTAATAAAGTACATGCACTGTATTCTATTTAAAGAAGTAATTGCATAGTTATTAGCAACCTCTTGCTTATTGAAGACAGATTTCCTGTCCTCGTGTATACTGTAATTCATCCGCTAATTATAGCGTCAACAATTCTTGCTAAAATTCGGCAATCCGTGCAGTTTCACGTTTCAAGGAAATGCCGGAAGCAACAAGTAGCTCAACCGCGCATCTAGCCTCTCCTATGACCATCGTCAGTATATTTGTATATACTGTAAGCACACGGCATTTTTGTCACACGAACAAAATTAAAGCTTTAATGGTAACAGCCCAGAGGTAACAGCCCTAATTCTTCCTAGAAATGACCAAGGAAACTTCGTACATTGCCGATCTGATTCCAAAAGCGAGAACTGTTGGCGCTATAACGGCCGAAATATGTACGCGTATAGCGTCCAAAATGTCGGCTGCTAATAACTCTCTAATAACGGCGCGATATCGTCTGCGTAAAGTTCTATAACTACACCGAGAATAAGAAGAGAGCAAATTGCATGATGGTACAGTAGGTGATAAGGTACCAGGGCCTGATCATGAAATATAACGGACGGACATTTTCCGACCAAACTACACTGGTTTTCTTGAAAGAATGGGTTTACTTACAATTAGAAAACATAGTTGTCAACGTTCAAAAGCATTTTAACTATAGAATATAGCGTTTGGCATATTATATAGTATTGTTTGTTGATCTGATTTACCCAACGGATGTCGAGAAAAATGATCGATCAAAATTTGAAGGTTTCCAATCAAATTTCATTTTGGTCGGGCATTTGTCGGGATAATCTTCGAACGTTATTTCAGACTCTGAGGTAATCTCGCTATATTTGATGCAACAAAATGAACTCTCTGATTAATATACGGCGGTACAGGACAAGTTGTTCGAATATGGAGTAGACGTATACAACAATACCTTCTTGATACATATCATTAAGTATATATCCCTCTGCTCTATCACATAGCGCATCAACATTATTTTCATCCAGGTTTATCGCCTCTGAACAAGAATCTAATGTTTTCTCTATGTCACCGTTCTGCAACAAAAACAAAGCCGATAACAAAGCTAAGCTACAGTTTTATTTTGGACAAACGACAGAATTGAGACTACTCAATTTTAAAGCCTTTCTCACGCCGCCATTTTTGAGGGGCTTTTCAGCCGAAGTCTGCGAGATAAGTCCGCATAACAGCGACTTTTTATATTTTTATGGACGAATAATGGTAAATTTGCTTTGTTTATTTTGAAAAATTGCTTTTCACATTGTTTTAATTGTCTGCATTGGTTAACGAGAATTAGATGCCACCCAAAAATGGCGGATATTCGTCATCGTGAGAAAGGATAATTTATGTATTCCAAGCAATATAGGGACACGCACATTACGCCCGAATTTCTTTTAAAATAATAGGGGAATAATAGGCAAGAGCGGGAATAATAGGAAAATGTTTCGGTGTGATGTCATCGTGCCAACGTGAATTCGGTAGTTAGCATATGCGCCATCCGCACATAGGCCAGAGGCGCGGCGAGCATGTGTGTATCGTCTCTAAATATACGTCGTGTACGTACAATTTGTGGACTAATACCGTTATATGCATTATTTGTTTCTTTAAATAATCCATTATGCAAATTTCAAATAAAATTGAAAATCTTGACGAAATTTCCAGCTCCACAGTCCACATCCATTATAAAATCAAATTCTTATTTCCTCCTGGCCTTGATTCGACTTGATGTAGAATAATTTTGGAAATAATAGGGGGGAATGTTAAGAATAATAGGGTAAAGTCAAAGGAATTAAGGAATAGAATGGGAAAATTTTGGAGCATAATGTACGTGTCCCTACCAAGCAGGCAACTTCGGTGACAAACGGCTGAATTATGCAATATTTTCATAGAGCAAAAGGGGGTACCAGGGAACCAAGAGGGATATTTGGTGCAAGTAAAAAACGACCATTATTGCCATGCCCCCTCTCCTCCCGTAATTAATAGTTCCCAATCTCTTGACGTTTCCCACAGAGTTGCTTGTGTAGAAGAAGGGTGTGTCCAGAGCGTTCTAAACAAGGACGTTTTAACAATCAGTACATATCTTCATGATTGTATTGTATGTATCTTTCCTGTTCAAAACATTTTTCATAATAGTCCGTATCTCCACATACTAATTAAGCAGATAAAATATTACAAGAAATAAACCTTACCATGCGATGACAATGACATATTTGTGTTTTCGCCTTCAAAACGTAGAAATCTAGTGTTGGTTCGGTTTTTAACGCTGACTCTAATTTTCGTATAGCGTCTGAATAGCTGTGAAACAAAACATTTTGCATAGATTATAGAAATGAATCTGATAACAGAACTTTGGATTAAGTGTATGTATACGAACAACATTTTTAAAACATCTATATTTACAAAATTTCCTAAAACATAAACTACGAGCATTTCACATTCGAAATAATCAGAAGATAAATCCAAAACCTAAATTTTCCTTTCGACATCTGTAGGGTTGGAAAGGGTATGCTACATTTTCAGTACATTACGGATATTTGGAGGTCTAATATTTGGAACGTACAGTGTGTAATTGAGCTTACGTGAACTGCACTGCGATCACAGCTGGAAGCCACGAATTAATTATTTTGAAAAATGACAGAAACTGTATAAACATTACCTAACACGGAATAAAATTCCAGACAAATTAAAGAATGGAGTCGAGGCTATGCATGTACAATGTTACAGTTCAGTAATTCTGCAAATGTTCTATTGTACACAAATACCCTACTGACATGTGAGTCACAACAAGGACGGGACACCTTTCAATACTTTCAATACACTAATCCATGTGATTGAAGCTATGTAAGGCTTCTGAACAGTAGTACTATATTATTACTGTTAGTTTAGTAGGTTTTGTTCCAACCTTGCTCTGTTTATTAAATCTTGAGCTTCATTAAATTGTTTATTCAGCTTCTTTAATTTCTGTGGAAAAAAATCACGATAGTGCATGATTAGCAGTCAAATTACCCGCTAAAATCTGCATTGGGACCTGCCTCCTACCCAGGCGCCTTGCTTCTTTCACGTCATTAAGCGCGAGACGAGTGTCTGAGACGACGATAGAGAACTTCAGATTTGACTACAAGTAGGACTATGATATATGTCATTAATGCCACAGAGTAGATACATATACAGAGTTATAACTGCGCGTGCTCGGTAAGCCATTAGATGCATGACGACTCGCTTTAACTGCTCGAGGAACTTGCCGAGCACGCGCAGTTGATCATTATTTGCCCGGTCGCCTGAAAAAAAGTGGGTACATGAAAACGTAAGTTTCCGCAGACGGCCAGTTACAGCATTGTATGTATCTACTCTGTGTTAATGCTCCCCATCTTCTTATGCCATTCCGTACGCACGCCATAATCTCGTAGTACTGTAGATGCTAGTTTCACTGCGAGATTTTTCAAAAATCCCGTCAATTTGGCGACAGCTGCGAGATTTATAAGGCGTCAGTGTATGATGGCGTAAGAATATGGCGGATCTAAATAACGTATCTAAATAATCTAGTCGTACTTGTAGCTAACATAAAGCACAAAATAGGAAGGTATAGCAGAAGCGTAACTCAAGCAAGTACTTGTCCGCGTTTTTACAAGCGATTCGTCATCAATCACGCCATCCTGGCTAGTACAACCGGCACTTTGTACCTACCAAAACCTGATAAAAACTTCCGGTTGTACTAGCCAGGATGACGTGGATTGGCGTGAGCGAGTTAAAATTTTCGTGGACGTAGAACAATAAGGGAAACGACTAGAGTTACGCTTCTGCTATACCTTCTTATTCTGTACCTAAAGCATCTTAAATTCTTAATAGATGAGGCGGGACGATTCATATTAATCAACGCCGCCCCACGGCGCAAAGGCCTGCACGTATCAGCGACGTAACTCACAAGCCATAGCAATCTCGTACCCAGAGTATGCCCGTTCGCAGGTTGGGTGCTAGGCATGACATACTCTGGAGATTGAAGCCATAGCGGTAACATAGCGCCTGGGTACGAGGCAGCATGGGGACTATAGTAGCGGTCTTAATTAGCAAGCGACGTTTTTGACAACACGAACGTTGACCGGAAGCAAATTTGACGTTATCAACCAATCAACATTCTTGACCCAGTCTTTTGACGTTACTCATGCCGTTCGTGTTGTCAAAAACGTCGTTTGCTTAAGCTCGCTAGTACCAAACACGAACGCAAACGTTGGATAAAACGTACGCAAAATTATGTATAATTATAGACTTTTCTCACAATGACATCAAACACTGATGACCACTTAGGCAGAGGGAACGATTTTTAACAACAATTCGCAATCAATCAGTTGCTGAGCCTGCATGAGATAATCAAATTTCATGTACCATCATTTGCGTTGCGAATTGTCGCTATAAAGATTGTTCCGTGTAACATCGTAATAAGTGTTTATTTGCGTTTTACGCCGTCAGACATGGAGGTTTATTACAAGACATATAGTATATTACGTAGACAAACCAGAAAAAAATACTAAATATAACTTACCTTATAAAATGCGAAGCAATCTTTATGATCAGGATCAAGTTTAAGACATTCTCTTATTTCCCTGAAAGAAGAGCCATACACATTTTAAATTTAGACTTTTTAAGAATTAACAGTTACTGTACATAGTAACTATCAAATGCAGCCTAAAGATATATGGAGTAGGAAGTACGTCGTATATTGTGTCATTAAAGGTGTTCAAAGCGAAACTATGAGGGATTATTTATAATTCACAGTTTATGCAGGACGTTCTCCGATTTATTCCACGAGCTTTCGACTTATGGACGACGCTTTGTCACATGACTGCATATATATATATATATATATATATATATATATATATATATATAGACAAGTATCGAGTTTGGAATCATATATGAGTAGAGTGCTCAATACCG